ATCACAGGGTGATGGATCAATGCTGGCTTTATTTTTTTGAGTTAGAAGAGCAAAACTACATACATGTAAGATTCTGTTTTCCAAAAAACCGGTAATTTAATATTTTTAACTTATGAAACTTGAATTTTTCTATTTAAGGGTGGTTATTTCGATTTAAAAAAAATTTAGAGGGGAGGGAGCATTTCTGTCTTTGTTTCTGCCTTCTGGAGTAAAAATACCTGGTTATAAAATTTGTCAATCAGTTATTTTATTGTTTTACCTCCTGAATTTGATTCTGCAGATTAGGGGTAGTTTTTTCAATTAAAAAAATTCAGGGGGTGCTGGATCAATGCTGGCTTTGTTTTTGAGTTAGTGGAGCAAAGTTTCGTATATGTAAAATTCGATTTTGTAAAAAAATAAGTTGATTTATTTTTTATCTCCGAAGTGTGAATTTGTCCATTTAAGGGTGGTTTTGGTCGATTTAAAAAAAAACTGAGGGTGATGGAGCAATTCTGAGCACAGATTCGGTTTCAGCGGGCCAAAATACTATAGGAAATATATGTCTAGTTCAAGAAACAGACAACTTTTTTTTTTGTGTGCCTGTGTAATATGCATATTCAAGAGTTGGCATTTGAATATTCTGAATATTTACATTGCAGGAGAATATAAAAATTAAAAGTGTATCGAAATAATGCTGTGAAACCATGACTGAAGGTCATGTGAAAAGGTTATAATAAAATTAATTATATTTTTAAATATTATCTATTAATTAAAAATTCACAAATTTGCGAAAATTAATTTTTAAATTTTTTATTTATTAATAAACAATTATATTAGTATTGTTAAAGACAAGAAAAAGCGTTTAAAAATAATTAAGAAAATAATTTTAATATATTAAAATAAGAAATGAAAGTGAACACAAAAATTCTATTTTTTAAACATTTAAATCAAAATTATTATTAAAAAATTATTTGTTATAATTAAAAATGTATTAATTAATGAAAAATTAATATTTAAATATTTTATTTTTTGTAAAAGATTGTGGCCTTTACAAAATGGTTTTTAAAGTTGAAATAAAATTTTTTAAAAATTATTATTTCTATTCGAAATAAAATTGACTAAATAGACAGAAAAAAATGCTTGTAATATATTTATTTGTGAAAATTTGTAAAATTTAATTATTTTCAAAATGTTGAATTACAATTCTTTAAAAATTCGTTTTTTTTAAATTTTACTAAAATTAATTAATAATTAATTATTTTTGAAAATTCAAATATTTAAAAAAAAATTGAATTAAAATATTTTTTAAAATCTAATTTTTGTAAATACCTACTTTAAATAAAAAATTTTTAAATACATACAAAAAAATTATATTAATTAGAAATAGGATAAGTAAATTAAACAATTGATATAAACACATTTATCACAAAATTTAAGTAAACACAAAAACGTATAATATAATTCTGTTTGACAGAAATAAATGATATCTCAAGTTCAGGTCACCAGAAAAATAAAATTCGACCAGATTATTAAAAAATAAGCTTGTCTTTATTGATATGAGCTAAAATTTTGTACATAGGATAAAAATAAAAAAAAATGTCTGACTTTTCATTTTTGACATTTTTTAAAAATATTTATAGTTAAAAAAGTAAACGAAATTTTAAGAAATAATTGTCTACTTTTTTTAAGCACTAAATACATATTTTTAAAAAATGTCAAAAATGAAAAAAGTCAGCCATTTTTTTTAATTTCATCATACGTACAAAATTCTAATCAATAACAATAGAGACAAGCTTACTTTTTAATAATCTGGTCGAATTTTATTTTACTGATGTCCTGAACATGAGATATCATGTCCACCAGTTTCAAGTATGGATAATTTTCGTCGGCCATTATTTCATCGAAAAAAATAAAATGAAATGGTTTTTAATAGTTTAAAACCTCTTCTTTTATATGTGAAACATTTATTTCTGTCAAACAGAATTATACTATGTTTTTGTGTTTACCTAAATTTTGTAATAAATGTGTTTATATTAATTGTTTAATTTACTTATCCTATTTCTAATTAATATAATTTTTTTGTATGTATTTAAAATTTTTTATTTAAAGTAGGTAGGGTAAAAGGTACAGTGACCGACACCCAGACAGTGAACGACACCTGCTATTAAAAACGATAATAACTATAAAAATAATAATATTTAATTAAATATCACTAGTAAATTAATTAATATACAATATTTAAAAACTTATACAGTTTATACAAAATTTTATATGTTTATATTTTCCTCAATATTTAATACTTTCTAGAAAACTAACCTCAAAAAATTTGATTTATTGATTACAAATTTTATAAATATGAAAAAATTGTTAAATAATTATATTTTAAAAGCAACTTTTTTTGTACATTAAGTCTGAATAATAAAATTTATGATAATACTAATAAATATCATGTTACTTAAATAGAAGTTTAAATATTTTTTATTTTATTAAAGGGTGTCGTTCACTGTTTTCATACCATACATTTTTAAATTAATATTATAAACTCATATCAAGGTGTTTTTTAATTTTAAACTTGTGTACTATAAATTTTAACCCAAATCTTTTATTTAAAATTTATTTTATAACTAAATCTTTAATAAATTACGATAAAATGTCATTTAAAGTTGAAAGTATGCCCAGGGTGTCGGTCACTGTACCCCTTACCCTGTTGAAAATTCCTATGTGAGAACACATATGGGATCCCATCCAGGATCTCTTGTGAGTTCTTATGTGGGTTCCCATACAGGTTCACACATAAGATCCTGTATGAAAAGGTTCCTGGGATGAACTTGCGTGAGATCAAGCGCACGATCTTATGTCTCTGTAAAAGCAATAACACAGGATCCCATGAGGTTTCCTGTGTAGGTTCCTATATGAACAACACGATAAATAGGAACACACATGGGATATTATCCGAGATCTTGTATGAGTTCTTACATAGGTTCTCACATATAAGAATTTAACAATACTTATATAATTGTTTATTAATAAATAAAAGATTTAAAAATTAATTTTCGCAAATTTGTGAATTTTTAATTAATAGATAATATTTAAAAAAATAATTAATTTTATTATAACCTTTTCACATGACCTTCAGTCATGGTTTCACAGCATTATTTCGATACACTTTTAATTTTTATATTCACCTGCAATGTGAATATTCAGAATATTCAAATATCTCCGTGAAAAAAATTTTCAAATGAGCCCGCCCTTTTAGGTCGATAAGTAGGATTACTTGTCTATCAGCAAGTTGTAGAGCCTGTGGAAGATTTTCTTTTTCTGCCAGATATCTGTAGTGTAGTGGTTAGGGTCTTTAGCTAGCGCGCGGCGAACGTAGGTTCAATCCCCAGCACCCCAAAATTTGTTTTCAAAAGTTCTTGCTCAATCAAGCATGCAGTGCTTGATTCAATGTGAAACAAAGCACTTCACAGTCGATGACGTGTATACTCGTCATGGCATAAGTGGGCTCAAACTGTCGATGACGTGTATACACGCAAGAAGATTTGTGGCTATATAAACAGACATAATTGTCCCAAAATTGTTACTCGGGGGTTTTCGGGGTTTCTGATTACGAATCCGATGTCAGTTTTTTAAAATTCAAAATGGCGGATCCAATATGGTGGACGACTTTTTCAAAATTTGATGCGATTCGCTTGAAACTTGTTACTCGGGGGTTTTCGGGGTTGCTGATTAAGAATCCGAAGTCAGTTTTTTAAAATTTTTTAAATTTAAAATGGCGGATCCAATATTGCGGACGACTTTTTCAAAATTTGATCGGTTTCGCTTGAAACTTATTACTCGGGGGTTTTCGGTGTCGCGGATTACAAATCCGATGCCAGTTTTCCAAAATTTTGAAAATTCAAAATGGCGGATTGTTTTTTACTGTCTTGATTCACGTTTGTCATTGTCTGTACAGTACTGTGACTGTCTTTTTCGCTGAAGGCGATTGACTTTCAATTGTTTTCGTCATTGCGTTGTTTCTGTGTCGAATGTGTTATTTTTATGCTTCTTTTCACTTTAAAAAATTGTCTCATCTTTGTTTTACTAAATCGATTAGCAATTGTTTTTTTACAGTCTCGATTCCCGTTTGTCATTGTCTGTACAGTACTGTCACTGTCCTTTTCGTTGAAGGCGATTGACTGTCAATTGTTTTCGTCATTGCGTTGTTTCTGTGTAGAATGTGTTATTTTATGCTACTTTTTACTTTAAAAAATTGTCTCATCTTTGTTTTCCGTAATCGATTAGCAATTGTTTTTTACAGTCTCGATTCCCGTTTGTCTTGCTATTGTGCATTGTCTGTACAGTACTGTCACTGTCTTTTTGGTTGAACGCGAATGACAATCGTTATATTCACTCCGATCTTTACGTGTCGAATCTAGTTAGTCTTTTTTTTTCTCAGAACATAGTTTTACACTTTTAGAAAAAAAGAAATGTTGAGAAATAAAAGAAAAGGAAATAATTTGTAATGTAAGTTCTGATTCATCAGATGAAAGTAATTCTGACAGCGATGAATCAATTAACGAGTTTTTAATTGATGAGGTTAGTAGTGAAAGCGAGACAAATGACATGCCTCAAAACAGATGTGATGTATCAGATCATGAGTCCTGCGATGAATCTGATTTACCTCTAAAAATACGATTGAAAAATGTTTTAGATGATCTTAAGTGGACAAGCACTGGATGTTTCAATCCTATTATATATCCTTTCTCTGATAATAATTCTGGTCTTCAATCAGGCTCTGGGTTAAATGTTCAAAGTAGTCCGGCAGAGATTTTTAGAGCATTGTGTGATGAAGATTTTATGGGTATGATTTCTGCACAAACAAACATTTATGCAGAAACTAAAAAAGACAATCTTGAAAAAGCGGAAAAATTTAAAAAAAATCTCGAGTATTGAATTTCACTCTAGTAGAAACCGATGAAATGTATGTTTTCCATGCTTTGGTTATTTTGATGGGCATAATAAGAAAACCTACAATAGAAATGTACTGGACAAAAGAACCTGCTTTAGAAACTCCTTATTTCAAAGAATGTATGTCTTATAATAGATTCCGAGTTATTCTTTCTTTGCTTCACTTTGAATGCTTAAATGATGACAGTCCTGACGTTCTGCATAAAATTCGGCCGGTTTTAGATCATTTGATTACAAATTTTCAGGCAGTTTATAGACCCGGGGAAAATATTTCGATTGATGAATCGTTATTACTCTGGAAAGGTCGTCTAAAATTCAAGCAGTTCAACAGAAATAGGAGATCTCGATTTGGAATTAAACTGTATGAAATGTGTGAATCGAAAAGCAGATATGCTTATAACGTAAAAATTTACGCCGGTAAGGATGCAGACAAGTCTTATACTGATAAAAGAATCGGTGTCTCTGGAGAGGTTGTAAAGCTACTTATTGGAGACTTAAATGAACAGGGTGGAACCCTTTTTATTGACAATTGGTATACCTCTCCAATGTTAGCTTTACAATTGCACAATCAGAAGACAAATGTTTTTGGTACTGTCAGAATTAATCCAAAGCATTTACCCAAATTAAATGCAAAAGAGATTAAAAGGGGACAAATGAAAGTTTTCCACACTCCTAAACTATGTTTTGTATCGTGGCATGACAAGAAACTTGTGACAATGTTGACAACTGTCCACGTACCCGAGTTGATTGACACAGGCAAAACAAATTTTAGAACCGGAGAAAGAATTCAAAAACCAAATGTAGTTATATCGTACAACAACAACATGGGTGGTGTTGATACGATTTTTTTTTACGAGGGAAGTGGAAAATCTGCATAACCTTGGAGGCCTACTTCCAAGTCAGATACCTGGAGCCCGTACTCTCAGGTTATTTGGGGATGACCGCTCTTGTTCTGGTCGACCCACTAAAAACCACACCCTTTTTGAGACTTAAACTCCACTGGCGGAACTGCTGTTAGCTTTATACATCGCCAGTGGAAGTCTCCTTACCGTTGCTCTCGGTCCTAAATCCTTAACTGAGTGCTAGCGCTAGAAGAAAGAGAGCCAGTTAAGGTCTCCCCCGCCCCGCGCGCACACCCAGCCGAGCAGCAGGATTTCTCCGTGTTAACCTCCACCTGTCGTCCTCCTTCGTCCTCATTACGGTTGTAATGAAGGACTCGACGCTCCTCCAAGAGTCCGCGCTCTGCAACATAATAGAAACCATGTTCTCGGGTGTGACTTCAGTGCCCACAGCCGAGAACATGGCTAACCTAAGTTCACGCCAGTGCCCGCAGAAAAAGAGCGTGTGCTCCGCGTCGTCAGTGTGTATTGCTTCGTCGACACCCGAACCGTTGCAATACACACATCTCGCTTCTGCTTCTATTTTAAATCGATAAAAATACTGTCCGAAACAACCATGACCTGACAACGCTTGTGTAAGGTAGTAGCCAACTTCACCGTGTTTCCTATCTAACCATGTGGCGAGGAGGGGAATCAGGCGGTAGGTCCACCTACCTTTAGAATCCCCATCCCATCTCTCCTGCCATTTCTGAACGAGTCTACTTCTGGACTTTCTGCGTATTATCGCTTTGAGTCTATCGCTATGCTCTGAAGTACCCGCCAGATCTTTGTTAAGATGGAAGATCTCCTTCCTTTCCATCGCCAATAAATCTATTGGCGGTAGTCCAGCGAGTACCAGAACAGCGCAAGTAGACACCGTTCTGAAGGCTGACACAATTCTCCGTGCCGGGTCTCTCTGGACCGCGAGGAGCCTGTCAGAGATGCTGTGGAACTTTAGGGCCGAAGCCCAAACAGGGCCAGCATAAAGCTGCTTTGATTGAACCACAGTCGCCACTAGTCTACGTTTCTTTTCCCTGGGGCCACCGATATTGGGCATCATCCTCGAAAGGTTTCCCATGCATTCAGTGGCTTGGAGTGACGAGATGTTAATATGTTGTCCGAAACTCAAACGTTTGTCCAACGTCACTCCCAGGTACTTCAGTTTCGTCCCCCATGAAACTACAAATCCTCCAATTTCCAACCGCGAAAATCGGAAGTCTCTCCGGTCTGTGACGAGCAGAGCCTCGGTTTTCTCGACAGCCATTTTCAGGGCATGTCGGTCCAACCAGAACCCTATTCGTCGCAGACTATCATCGAGTTTTATCTGTAAAAGATTTATCTCGTCCGCACAGCATACTAAAAGCACGTCATCCGCGAACCCGGTTAGAAACGTATCTTCCGGTAAGTCCAACCTAAGGAAACCGTCATACATGACGTTCCATATGGTTGGACCTACTTTCGCCTACCAGGATTCTCTGTAGTCTCTCCAGAATCATTCCCTCTAGAAGTTTACCCATCGTATCCAATAAACAAATTGGTCTAAACAATGAGACTTTATCTAGAGGTTTATCCCCCTTCCTAAGGAGGACCAACTTCTGTGTTTTCCAGTCACTAAAAAACCTTCCACACTCCAGACATGTATTAAAGACGTCGAGAAGTAGCTCCGGATACACAGCGATAACTTCTTTAAGAATCTCGTTGGGTATTCCATCATTTCCTGGCGCTTTGCCATTTTTCAACGTCTTTGCCACCTTTTTAAGCTCTTCAAGTGTGAAGAGTTCTTCCCTCTGTACTACACAGTGAGTATAGTCCTCTCGGGGGCCAGATTCCACATGGGGGAACAAAGCACGTATGATTTTTCGGACCCAAATCGGATTGTCCAGACCGGGGGTTTTTTGCCGCGAAACTAGTTTTTTAGAAACTACTCTAAAAGCCAACCCCCATGGGTCATTTTCCGCTTCTCCGATCAGGTCCTTCCAACACTTTCTTTGGCTACTCCTTATAGCCCGCTTGAAGATCTGCCTGGCTTTATGCCACTCTTCTTGCAGCAGGAGGTCTCCCTTAGAGTGGGTATACTTCCTCCTCGCTGCATGGCATTCTCTTCTTAGACGGGCTAGCTCGTCATTCCACCAGTACAGAGCTTTCTTAGCTTTTCTTTTCTGCCGGCGAGGCATTGAGTTCCTGCAAGCCGCGATAATAACTCGCCTCGCCTCACGCACTTTTTTTCCAGAGTATTTGGCTTCGTCATCCAACCGAGTTCCTGGATAAACCGGGACTCGGCTAGAGACTCCGCCAATCTCTCTATATTTAGTCTTCTGAGATTCCAGGAGGGCTTCTTGCTGCCACCTTGCAGTCTATTGTTCCCTCCCAGATTTTTCTCGGAGACTATAAACTCAATGTACTGGTGGTCGCTCATGGTCGTCTCGTCCAGAACGCTCCACTCTCTTATTCTACGAGCCACGCGGGGCGAAGCGATTGTCAAATCGATAATTGACTCTGATACCCCGCGGCTGAACGTGAACTGTTGACCCCGGTTCATCACCACTAGATCGTTCGCTGCAACCATATTCGCTACCAAGGTTCCCCTCCTGTCTAGGCGGCTCTCTCCCCATTCCAGCGACTTACTATTGAAGTCTCCCGCAATGAGGACATCACCGCCGAAAGCTCTAATGCTTTCTTCAAGAGCTTGAACCTCGGCATCGAATTTTTTAAAGGGATCGTTTGGGGAGAAGTAGCAGCTGTATATACGTACACCTGCCACCTCTACCCAAACAAACCCCTTATCTGTCTCCAGGAAGTCACCAATGGCAATGTCCGGGTTACACACCTGTATACCAGATCTTCTTGATGCATCCTCAAACCAGACAGAGAATCCCGGCTTCCTATACTGCTCACTGAAAAGCAGCACATCAGCTGCTCTCTCTCTGGCAGTCTGCATCAAGAGATCTTGCGCGACTCTTCCTTTCCTGAGGTTAACCTGGAGAAATCTTAGCTCGGGACTTTAGGTCCTGGTGCAACTTCCAGTAAACTGGACAAGCCTTGCTTCCTGGAAGGTGTTTCAGATCCTTCATTCCACTCTTGGAACATGTAATGCATTTGGCATCGCCTTTGCATTCCGTCTTCCGGTGGTCTGGACTGCCACACCTCCAGCAAGCAGCTTTCCTATCAGGGCCAGTGCATCCTCCGGCCAGGTGGCCGTAGCAGAGGCATCTATAGCACCTCTCTACTTCCAACCTGGCGCGAACTCTGCAGTTGACCCAGCCAATCTTCACTCTTCCGGTCGCAAGAAGGGATTCTTCTTCCGTTTCCGGGAGTCGCAGAATCGCCATCTTGTTGTGACCATACCGAGTGAAGACTTGGCATTGCACTTCAAGGTTCGGCTTGCCCAGTTTTAACCGGACTGCCTCTACCACCTCTGCATCGACGATGGTCTCGTCGAGGTCTAGAATTTCTACCGACCTCACCGAGACGAACACCTTCACTTCCGCCTTGCCTTCGAGAGCGGTGGCCAGGGCACCTCTGAAACCAGAGAGATCCTACCCTTTCTTCAGAACCAGAAGGATTTCATCCCTTCTGGTTCTTCGAATTGACAGAATCTCCGTATGCGTCTCGTCGTGCCTGAACCCCGCTTTCATGTCCTTCAGGATATCCGCGTAGGACTGGCCGTCCTTCGCGGATACCCTGATGGCCTCCGTCCCTCTAGACCTCTTACCTGGGGGTCGTCCCGCTTTAACGCTTGACGACTCCCTGGCTTCTACTGGGGCCTTTTTTCTTTCTTCTTCTTCTTTTTGACTTCTTTCCAGGTCTCAGAATCGACCTGGGAAGAAGTACCTTTAATTTTTTTGACTTCGAAAACAGGCGGGTTTTCCTTTTCGGCCAACTCGCCTGTTTTCCCTTTTTTCAATGCCCCTGTCTCAGGGGGAGTCTTCGAGGCATCTTGTTTTTTTCCTTTTTTCCGAAATCGGAGTCGCCAGGGACTTTACCCTTTGGTGACTCCGATTTCTCTTTTGAGAGAGGGAGTCAGCCTCCTCCATCTTTCGTAGAAAGCTCTCTCCCTCCTCTTTTGCATCTTTTATTATGCCTCGAAGACTCCCACTATACAGGTAAGCCTCCTTGGCACAATTTTTTACTTCCTTGGAGTTGTTCTTGAGCATCCCGTCCCGCACTGTTTTCAGTGCTTGGACGAGGTGCTCAACAACCTCGGACTACCTCTCCAGAAATCCAAGGATAGCTCGCCATCCTTCGACCTCCGGGGAAGCAGCTTGCAACTCCAAGTTCTCCATTTCTTTTTCAACGATGGTGGCGGGGAGCTCTACGCTCTCCGTCTCCATCTTTTCATCCTTTTTTCTCTGCTTTGATGCTTTTAATGACTCATCGGCCAAGTCAGCCACCGATGAGCCACTGCAGTTATTGGATCTCAACGCTCCAGGGCCTGCTTTCGCACCCTGGAGAAGCGCCGCAACTGGGGCTTCCGAATTCCCCTGCTGGGTAACTTTTTTTTCAATTTTATTTTCCTCAATTTTTTTTTGAAGTTGTATTTTTTATCGGGGTTCCTTCCCCTAGCATGTAAGTGTGTGATATATGTGTGTGAAAGACCTCCGCAATGTACTGTCCCACGACAGGGTGCGCGGAGGTCCGTAGTGTGTGTAACTTACATGAGCGTGTAAATTTTAAGTGTGGGTGGAGTAACTTTGTCAAAGGGGTTAACAGCGGTCCACCCGGGAACCGATCCCATCTGCCGCAGAACGAAAAACCTGGTGCTTAACGGACATTCCTTCGTGAGGTCGCTGGAACCTTCAGGCGACAGGGTTTTAAGCCCGTCCGTTGGTCATCGCTTTCCGTTTGGGCACCGAGCGTCTTTAATATTTTTAAAGACACCAGGTTTCTAACCCGCACAGCCAAGCGATCCATCCTCATCCCCTATTCTGTGATGCAGGAGCAAGGGCCGGCAGAGCAGACAAGAGTCCGATCGACCGCAGAGGGGAACAGTCCCCGAGCAG